TATTGGCGGATCGCCTTGAGTAAGAAGTCGCAATTGGGAGATACATCTACTTTGTGATTAAGAGTTGTTTTATGGAAGACATGAGATGTTTGAGGCTTGAGGTTGTTACGCCTAGTGATAGGGCTGATTGTAGTCATTGATAGTTTTAGGCCGACCTTGAGAGAACGTATTGTTTAGCTCAGGAAGATTGACCCCCAGTTGTGAGCGTATTGAAAGAGAGATGACAGAGGGTAAACATATAGACTTTGTGGTTAGTGATGATGGGTTGCTTAAATTCCGTAGCCGAATTTGTGTTCCTGCTGGTGGTGATTTGAGGAAGGAGATTATGACGAAGGCACATAGTTCTAGTTCTAGTTATAGTTATAGCATTCATCCTAGAAGTACTAAGATGTATTGGGATCTTTGTGAACATTTTTGGTGGAATGGTATAAAATGAGATATTGCATGAATTTGTGGCTCAGTTTTTGGTGTGTCGAACAAGTTAAAGTAGAACATCAGAAACCTGCGGGAAAACTACAACCCTTACTTATACTAGAGTGGAAGTGAGGATCATATTACCATGGATTTCGTGTGCGGATTACCTCGTACTAGTAGTAATCACAATGCAGTTTGGGTTAGTTGTTGATAGATTAATCAAGTCATCACATTTTTTGCCAGTATGGATGAACTATTCTCTAGCTCGCGTTTGCACAGTTGTATTGTGAAGGAGATTGTTAGATTGCATGGCGCACCAGTGTCAATAGTGTTCAGATCGGGACCCTCGTTTTGTGTCTAAGTTTTGGGTGCGTTACAATCAGCTAATGGTTACTCCGTTAAATTTTAGTTCAGCTTATCACCCTCAGACAGATGGGCAATCAGAGAGGACTATTCAAACCCTTGAGGATATGTTGAGGGCTTGTGCCTTGGAGTGGAGAGGTAATTGGGATGATTATTTGCCGCTCATGGAGTTAGCCTATAATAATAGTTATCATTCTAGTTTCGGGAGTAGCTCCTTATGAGACTTTGTATGGGAGGAAGTGTAGGTCTTCCTTTTGTGTTGGTATGAGGTTGGTGAAAGGCCAAATGTTGGGACCTGATTTGGTGGAGGATGCTACACAGAAAATTATCACCTTAGAGAGAGATTATAACTGCTAGAGTAGACAAAAAATAATGCTGATCATCGTTAGGAGGGACTTCGAATTCATTGGGGGATATGGTATTCTTGAAAGTATCACCATGGAAAGAGTGATCAGGTTTGGAAAGAAAGGAAAGTTGATCCAGATACATTGGTCCATTTGAGGTATTGGAGAAGGTTGGTAAGGTTGCGTACCGTGTTGCTCTACCCCCTAGGTTGGCAGGAGTGCATAATGTGTTTCACGTGTCTATGCTGAGGAAATATGTGCACAGTTCGTCGCATGTGATAGATTATGAGCCGCTTCAGAATAGAGAGGATTTTTCGTATAAGGAGATACCTGTTCAGATTTTGGATTCGAAAAAGAAAATGTTGCGTACAAAGGTCATTAAATTGGTTAACGGTATTGTGGCGTATCATTTAGTTGAAGAGGCGACTTGGGAATCGGCGGAGAACGAGATGCGCGAGAAGTACCCACATCTATTCTCATTGATTTACTCAGGTTAGTTTCAGAGGACGAAACTTTTTTAGGAGGGGAGAATGTGAGACACCGAATATAAAAATTAAGTAAATAATTAAATACTCAAATATTTTTGTGGTGAATTCTAAGGTGCAAATTAATATTATTGGAGGATGTTTTAATAATTTTTAAACTTAAAATAAATTTATGGTGAAAGTCATTGATTAGAAGCAAGATTTATTATTAAAAAAAAAAAAAAATGAGAGAAGAGGTGTTGACTTGAACTCTAGACCACAAAATTAATAAGTTAGGCTCTTACCATTTGAGTTGCATGTAACTTATAATGTATTTTGTATATTTGTCTATCTATTGACCTAAGTGTGCCCAGCACTAGTATAAAATAAAATAAACACAAACCCTAACTCTGGTTATAATTGTTTTCCACAACACTAGCAGCCCTAGCAGCCGTGGGTTTATGAAGAAAAGAGAGGGGTTTTTCAATCATCAAGATTATTGTTGTAGCCAAGAAGGAGAGCTTTGGGTGTGTGTGCTGTGTGGCTTCCTAGGTTTTCTTCTCTTATTTCTTTGTTCTTTATCCTAATAATATTGTTATTTAATTCATTGATGGAGAGATTGTAGGTGTATGTATTTTGTGTATATATATATGCTGTTAAGAAATCTAAGGAATTAAATTCATGATAAAGAATCGGTGTGATCTTAGTCCAAAAAATTCTGCAAATAATCGCTAACTTTAAAAATCAAGAAACCATATCAAACGGATGAATTTTAATCTGAAAATTTTTACAGTAGATCAATTACACATTGAATTGCATATCTGAATTTTTTCATAATTTTGGGAGTCGAAATCCATATAAATTGAGGTATTCAAATCTGTCCAGGAAACCAGTCCGAAACAGTAAATTTCGGGATTGTTGTTCTCTTTGGTATAAATCCAAAAATTATCAATTAGTGTCATTAGAACCGGTTATGAGTCTTAGTTTCGTACGTTTTTGGCCTTGCATTGATTGCTCATGTATGTTAAGAGAACCGTCAATTTCTTTAAAGTGCTGCAGAAAACAACCTATTTGGATATAATAAATTGTAGAAATTATTTTGATAAGCAAATCAAGTGAAACCAATTGGGTTTTGAAACTTAGGATATATTAGATCATATCTGGAGGTTATTGGAATTTTTTTGAATAGCGTGGAGTGGGTTTTGTAATTTTCAAAGTTAGCGAATAGATTGGGAAACTTGTTTAAAACACTGTTTCATTCTTAAAGTTATTTTTAGTGAAGTTTCGATCGGAATCTATGTCTTGGATGATTTTAGACCTTGAAGAACATGAACTTAGGTAATATTTAAGAGGTAACGGAGTTGGGTTGAGCCGTGTTAGTGCGCTTTAGTTTGGGGTTACTCAGTTCGTATTCTTTAGTATTTTTAAATTAGCAGTGACGTGTAGTTTTCATATTGGTTCAGGGCACTAGTTGGACTTTCATACTCTATTCGAGGATTACATTATTTCGTTCCAGGTGAGTAGTTTCATGCTACATATTTTTTATAAA